GTGGAATACCTTGTTGGTCATTGTCGGGTCACCTGTCCTGTCCGACCCTCTCCGACTCCTCACTTGTGGGACCGAAGAGGTCTATCAGTGACCTTGGCTGCTAGATTAAAAATTATAAGCATGGGCCTTTTTCTGCATTCTTTTCCTACTGTTAGCTCAGTGTAACTATGAACATTAGGTGTTGTCAGCTTTGGGGCAGACACTGTCTGTAAAGTAAGCAGCCAGCTTCAGAAGCAGGACAATGTGGATCTCCATATCGAACTCTATGATTTGGGAATCCTCAAGGATAGGGATTAGGGTAATAATTTAGGAAAAACACAGAAGCTCTTAGACACTTAAAACCAGCTTGCAGTTACAGTTTGTGAACGACTAGGGCAATCACTGTTTGGAGCTAAAAAATAGTTTTCTCGTCATCTTTTATTTTATTCATGCTTTGATTGTGACCTGAATGAAATGGATTCTTCTGAATCATCACAGGTATGGAGGGGGACATGACCGTCACATGTGAATAATTGAGGTTCTAAAATGGAACACGAGCTTCACCTCACCACGTAACAAATCTCTGAAGAGACTTGCTAACTGCTAAAAAGCTTTAAAAAAAAAAAACACAAAAAAAAAACAACCAAAAAACCAAAACAAAACCAGAATCACCCCCCAAACAAACAAACAAAAACCCTGAAAAACAAACAAAAAAACTCCCAAACACCCTCCCCCCACCCCAAATACCCTAACTCCTCCAAAAAGAAGATCCAAAAAAACCCATAAACAAGCCTCCCACCGTACCAATTCACTTACAATTTTAAGGGTCTGAAGTTATGTAGTTGTGTTGCTTTTGATGGAAATACAGATGCCTATGGACAAAGTATTATGAAAGAAAGTAAGTAAAGTAAAGTAAGTAATGTTAAGTATTTCTTCCTTTTTTTCTCAGGAGGATCAGGGAGAATGGGAAATTGTGTATGTATGTGGGAACGACAGTATTGCGTTTTTAAAGTTGTGATTTGAGTTTCTGCTGTTACAAGGAAAGAAAAGGCCCTTTCATGGTTAGATTGATTGGCTTTTGTGATGGAATATGCACTTGCAGGAATAAATAATCTAATGGAACATAGATAGCCTTCAATTCAGCCAATCCAATGTTGTGTTACTGGGATCGTGAGTTATGCTGTAGTTCAGCTAAAGATATGTGAAATAGATGGTGGAGGTTTAGGGTGACATTATCTGAGAAAATAACGATGTAACTGATGAAGAAAGAGAGTTTTGGCTTTCAGGCTTTTCACTGGAAAAACCCCCTGGTGCTAATAAAGTACCCTCAGGCTGGGGGTTCGTGACAAAAAGAGTGTCCCAGCCCAGATGCAATCCTGCAAATATAAGCAAATAACTACATTTTTACAAGCAGTTTTGTTTTGTGCTGAACTCAAAACAGTCTGGTATTTGTTCTCAAAATAAGCCGTGTTTTTCTGTATCTTCTTTTGTCCCACTGCTGTGAAATTTCCTTTTTAAAATTTTAATAATGTGTAATCTATGAATGCTCTTTTTTGCTGATTGGGGTGATTGTTTGTTTTGTGGCCAGGCTCAGCTGATCCACGACAGAAACACTGCCTCGCACTCAGCTCCAGCAATCAAAGCAAGTGTTGCTGCTGCTGTGCCAGAAAAAGTGCAGATGACCTGGACTAAAGAAAAGTTTGTAGCTGAAAAGCATAAAAACAAAGATTCAAATGTGTCTGGCTTTAAAGATATTTTCAACATGAAGCCGTAAGTATACACGTGGTGTTTGGAGTTTTGTATTTGATTGTGTGTGTGCTGGTGTGTGGGTTTTTTGGTGGTGGTTCTGGGTTTTGTTTTTTAAGAGATTCTGGTTGATTTAAAATTGAGTACAAACACGGTCTTTCTGTGCACTTAAATGCCATCCCTATGAAACTAGCATGGACTTCAGTGGAACAACAATGACTGTGAAGAGTCATTCACAAGAATGTTGTGAATGAAGCTTAAATATGACAGATTTCAAGCTGTAAACTCAATTTCTGGGTTGTACCAGAAAGCATATATATTAAAATGCTTAATAATAACTTCTCATTTTCTCTCTTCCTGTGGATAACTTATTACCGTACATCATTTCCCTGTCTCATTTATTGTGTTTTGTTGGGATAGGGGGAGTACCAAAGAAGCAGGTAGACTCTTGAAGACATTTAGCTTATGTTTTGGTTTTGGGGTGGGGGGCTTGTTTTTTTTAAACATACTCAGCCCTCATCCAGTAAATTACAGCAATATAAAATTTGTGCTTATATATTTGTCATGTTATAGTATTTCCTGTTGAAATATTCCTTAATGTCTTTTTCTTAAATAGAAGTCACTTAATAGATAAGAGCTACTGCCTGTGTCAAGCCTGAAGCAGTAGACACAAAACCAATGACAGAAAGATATCAGCTTGTGTACTTCCCTGTGTTGTGGTTCATATACATACCTGCATCTTTTCGGAGTTCTGGAAGAATGCAGTTATAAGCATGGCCTAGACTATTTTCTGCGCATGCCCAAAGCAAAACTGTGCATATCAAGGGCAATTTTAGTATCTAAAGGAAACATGTCTTAAATCTAGGACATGCAGACAGTAGAGTTTGAAGGTATACTTAGAACCAGCATCTTGAAATCCGAAGTTGTTTTGTGGATTTCCTCTGAGCGCTTTAGAAACAGTTTGCTCTCTGCAAATTCCAAACATCGTCTCGATCACACTTGAAAGCACTGTTTTTGTTCTGGACTGCATTACACTCTAATTCTTAGGGATGGGTTTTTTTTGGTAATATCTTGGAAATATCTCCTTTTACTACTTTAGAATTGTGTAAAATGCAGACTTCCGATTTTATGACTTTAAAACTGCTATATGTGGTTGGGGGTGGAAGTTACAGTTCAAACTTGGTGTGCCTGTACAATATGTTAATATTGTTGAATTAAAAATGTACCTGATGGCATAAATATTTTTTTCCTGTGCCATTGCTTCCCTTCTTGTAGAGAATGGGGAAATCTGTAAGTCTAAATCTCATTTAACTTAAGCGATGTAGGCTGTGTTCCCTGGTTCTTGTGGTCTTGTATATTGTATGCGTGTTTCCTAAATCATGATTTGCAGTGTGAATATCCTTTTGTACCTTGTTTTATATACTGTGATTTAGCTTTTATCACTGAAAAATATTCTTCATTGTGACCTGTTAATGTTTTCTTCCAAATGTTATCAACTTTCTGTTCAAGGTAAGTCACAGAATATGTATTGTAGTTTCTGTAAGAATGGAAAAGTGGGCAGTAATCCTGTGCACCAGTGTAGTATTTTGTTTTCTAATCAACTACATGAAAAAGTGAATATATTTTTGTTCTGGAAAAGTAGCCCCCAGTGTGATAGAACTGCTTGCACAATAAGGATTAATTTATTCACAAAGGGAACTTCTACATTTCATCAAATGCCAATTCTTGCTTCCCTTCTACCAACCCATGCATGTGTAGAAATAACCTAAGTTCAACTATACATTGCATCTGACAGCATACAAAAATGGGACACTACGTCTGTTTGTTCTTGGATGGGCTTGTGACTGCTCTGCTTGTTTTCAGAGCGTAGTGTTGTCTTCATTTTCTCTGTTTAACAAATTGAGCTTCTTATGAAACTTAGAAAGCTTACTTTGTGTACTATGTATGATTTTCGTTTCTACCAGTGATTGAAGGCTAGATGAAGTTACTCAGCCTCAGTTCACGTTGTACCTTTAGTCAATTTGAACCGTACTTTTAGTGCTGCATTCTTGCTCACTCCATCACAAATTTAGACCCTCCATATTTCCCCTACACTTCATCTTTAGTTTAACAATGTTTCTACTTCAGTATTTATATACCTCTTCAGTTATACACTCATGTCTCTTGCTTCATACTTGTTCTTTGGTCTTCTCAAGCTGGTGTTCCGCTTCTGAAAAGAGCGCTTGAAGTATTCTTGTTGTTTTTTGTACAGTTGGTTCTTAGGACAGGTGGCTGCTGTGACAGAAAATCCCCCAGAGGGACTGGAACTCAGTTTTGGAAATGTCGTTGTCTTATGGGAAAAGGTCGGGGTGGGGGAAGGACAATCAATCGAGATTGATGGGGCTTGTCTCCACTGGCCACTAAGCTTCAGGCCAAATCCCCCCCTGCCCCCGATTGCCCTTGCAAAATCAAAGATGAAAATACAACATGAGACATGCTGCTTCTAATAGTATCCTGTAAACGGCTGTTCCTTTCATAGTGGAAAAAAAAACAGGACTTAGTAGAACACAAGTACGTATGCTCCCAGCATTCTCTATCTTTCTTGGTCCCCTGTGTTTGAATGAACCAGTATCTGGCTGCTGTTTTCAACTCTATGCTTATTTGTGTAATCTGAGGGTGGCCTTATGTTGCTAGAAGGTTCTAGGATTGAGTGTTGGTGTAGTCCTCTGAAATGGCCTCTGGTAGTAGAACAAAGTTGTGCATTTCCTTTTTGTAAATTTTGGCCTCCTAAATGTGGTGGGATTTTTTGGGAAAAGGTATCTTAATTACTTCTATTGTTTGCCTGAGCTGAAACAGTGTTTGGGTTTGTGCTGATTAATTGCTGTTAGTGGAATTCAGAAGACGCAAGGCTTGATCAGGCACTTCAGAGGGCATCTGATGTCCTGCTGCTACTGACGTGCCAGTCCTCTCTCTGCCATAGGACGACGTGTGAGCCCAGCTGAGCAGGGTATAGTTGTGCTTTTACAGCAAGACGGCTAGTTACAGTGCTAAGAAGATTGCACAGGACAGAGTGATCTGATATCAACATACCAGTATCTCTGTTCTGCAGATGTGCTGTCACCCTGTGTTTCTGAGGTTCCCTTTGAAATGGCTTGCTTCACTTGTGAAGAATCTGCTTTTGGGCAGTAGATCTTTTGTAGAGTGGACTTAGATAGAGCCTGGGTATTTCTGTTGCACTGTAGCGTATGGCCCTTGACTAGTTTTATACAGACAGCAGTTTCTCAGGAACTGTAAGGAAACTATTCTTTTGTTTTGCGCTGAAGAGCACCTAAAATCATCCAAGATAAAATAAGGCGATCTCTGAAGTCTTAGCGGTTTCTTCCTCTTGCGTACAGGTTCGCAACCGTATCTATGGATGCAACAAGCAAAACATTAGTTCATGCTGATAATGTAAGGGGAGAAGCTCAATTTCAGTTCATTGTTTACTCTGCTGACATGAGTAACTAGTAATTTTTTCATCAATTCTATGCTGTTTCTGAATTTCCTTCACCAGGCTTACCGTAATCTTGTAAAATTTCCAAAGGAGCAGGAGGGAAATCTTGTGCAATATAAATACTGTAATCTTTCTATTACATTTCTGCAATTCCTTTTTTTGGAATTTCTTCTACAAATCCAGTTACTTTTTTAGATAATTCAATAAACTGGATTCTCAGTGTTTTTGACGAAACTTAATTTCTGTTAAATTAATTTTTTGCTTCATCTTAGTTAAAGATAACTGGCAGATTTGTGCATTTTTGGCACTCTTAGTTGCTTGAATTTCAAAGTTAAATGTTCTTTTCAAAGGGAAAAAAAATCTTTAAAACCTAGGTATTGTATTTTCTCAGTTTTATTTTGAATGTGTACAAATACTGGTGACTGTGAAAATAACTTATTCTAAGTGCATATAGATTAAATGTATAAATTAAAATACATATAATTCAAATACGTAATGATTGTGTCAATACTTTAAAATGTTTGTTTGCATGCTAGGAATCAGTCAAATGTGAGAAGAATGCACACTGCTGTGAAGCTCAATGGAGTAGTGCTTAATAAATCTCAGCATGCTCAGCTAGTTCTCTTGAATATGCCTGGACCTCCTAAGAACAGAAAAGGGGATGAAAACTGTATCCTCTACTGTATTGCTTCCATATTTCTTAAGAGTCTTGATTTTTGTGATCATGCCATTGTTGACTTGTTGGGACAACCATTACTAACCATGGTGAGCATAAATTTGCCTTTAAGAAAACAATTTTTGATTCCACAAGCAGAGTTTTAAGAAATGGTGATGGTGGGGGGTTTTATTGAATTGATGTAAAGCAGTCCTCAATTTTGAACTTATTTAAAGAAATCTATTTTTATCTCTTCTGCAGTGGAGTAGGACAGAACTAGAAATTTCCCCCAAATTAGGCCTCACTTCCACTGGAGCAAGCAGATGGATTACATAATGGGACAGTAAAGAGTGACATGTTGAACATGATTTTTGCATTGTATGTCAGACTTTTTGAGATGTTAGTGGATATTGTGTTTCTTTGCTGAATAAATTCCTTAATAATATTTCAGACATGGAGTTTTTGGAAGTTCTGACGGAAGGTCTGGATCGAGTCCTCCTGGTCCGAGGCAGTGGACGTGAAGTGATAACCATTTATTCTTAATCTCTTTGCACATTTTTGTTCAAGCACACACACCCCAAACAAGAAAACAAAGTGATTTTGCCCGAATTTGAGCAAGCTTCAGTAAGAGTTCTAGCGCATTGAGAATTACTTGCAGGCTGAATCTTCTGATGATGTGTTCTGCTTTTTTTCTATTAAAAAATGATATTTAAATTATATTTTAAGAAGATAGATTTATGTAGGAAATATTTCCATGGTGAATTACTAAATGGTGGATGGGTTAGGACATTTATGTGTATGTATAATCTGACGCTTGCGAAACTGTTGTGAAACACAAGAAAAGAAATAGTAATGCAATTGTATTTTTACACATGTAGAAATGTAAGCAACTTTTGAGGAATTTAATCTTTGTTCTGCATCTAAATAAAAGCAAAAGGTTTTAGGAAAAATTCGCTTCCTCCCTTACCAAAATGCTGCTGTGTTGCTTCTGGTGGGATTAGTCCTAGTTCAGGAAATGTCCTTCAGAAATGTAGACAGCTACTCAGAATTGTGTATTATGTGCATAAAGTGTTTCCCTGAAGTTTGTGATTTGCTACGCTTGTTTTAAATAACATTTCTCTATTTAAAATACTGATGTCTACTCAGGTAGCTGAAGCCTCCAGATAACAGTAATAGAGATCGACAAGTTGTGTGGGTGGTTTTTTTTAATGAGCCTACTAGCAGTTATAGTATATTGCACAATTATACTAGCGAAACCTAAGAGCATCCAGCTCATAGGAAGGCCATGATGCAGTAACTCCACTTGGTTGTAAATATAATTGTAACAATTGATGAACCACAGCAACTTGATTAATGAAGTGCAGTCTCTTGCTTTCAAATATGTATATTTTGAAAATGTTGTATGTATGTGCTGCTGTTTAAAATGAAATCTGCTTTTCTGAACTGAATGAGTTCTTAATTATTGTTTTTCATTTGAAATGGTTGAACAAGTTAAGTGCTCAATAGAAGCTTTTTGCTTCCCTCAGAATTCTGCCCCTTTTTGGACACAGTTCAGTTTCGTAAGTGTGGTTTTAAGAACTAAAGTGTTTGTGGAGTAGCAGAAGATAGTTCTACTCTAAAAAGAATGGGTTTATGTAAACATATGTAAGCTGTTCTTTTATAATACAATCGACATCTCTGTTGCTCAGACTGGGACAGCAGTGATGCAGGGCCCAAACACCTGACTAGGCTCAAGGCCGGTGCTTCTGAGAGAGTGCTCTCAGGCAAAGTGAAACAGTTATAAAAGTCAAAAGCTGAAAGCAGCCGTTACCTATCCCTGTAGTTCGATGCACAGCAACGGAGTGATGTGCGGAAACGAACTCCACAACTCAGAGAGTTATAAAGCAGGTATGTTTATTGCGGCGCCGGGTGCAAGGGGGGGGTCGCTCCTCTTAACTTGCGCACTGAGTCACAAAGCATGCACCTATTTATTACAAAATTGATCTAAGTGGGCTGGATTACTACAATTAGTTCTGGGAATAGGCATGATTATTATAATTATTTCCAGGAATTCATTATCATTAGCGCTTGTGCAGTGTCATCTGGTGGTCATCTGGGGGAGGTCTTCTGGATGAAGGCTTCTGATCTTTCTCACGAAGGGCCGTAGTTTTCCTTGCTGTGTACTTTTCAGCTTTGGCCCCAAACTGCTGAGTTGTCTGCGTTGGCTGAGTTCCAAGCCGCAGCACCAGTTTCAGCTAGAGGGGGGCTTCTTGCAGACAATAGGGTCCTGGTTATCAGTCCTTATCAGTCCCTGTCTCGCACCAGTCCTGGTTACCTACATTTGAGCTCACAGCAGTCCTTGTTAGCAAGATTACAAAGAATAGGACCAAACTAAATGTCAGAGGTTAATCCTTGCCTCAATATGGCTGCAAAGCTATATAACAAAATCAAATTAAAGCTATAGCAAAATCAAACTAAATGTCAATTTCTCACATCAGGAGGGAACACAGAAACATAGTCAGAAGACTCGATGAACTTTGGATGGCTCTCAGACACTGCTGGGACACACCAAAAGGCCCTTTGAAAGGCATGTTGCACACCAGAAGGCACCTGTAGACCACTGGAGGTGGGTGTAGGTTTAGACTTTGGGTTAGGATTATCTCTAGGCACTCAAGAGGTACCCTAGGGGGCACACCAAAGGCACTCCAGAGGCCCTTGGGTACGATGAAAGGCGTATTTGAGGCCCTGTGCACTCACCAGAAGGCATCTGAAGGTACTAGATTTACACAGCATATGAAGAAGTGGGTGAAAAGGCATTCTCAGACCACTGGGAAGAAGAGAAATGTTACTCAGGTGCCCATGATGCACTCCAAATGGCTCTTGGCTTCTGCTGGCACACATTAAAATGCCCTGCACCGTGGCCCCGTGAGTGCCATCAGCAGGCATTCATAGAAAACTATGGGTGGCTTATGGTAAGAGTAATGGTAAAGAGTCAGCTTAGGGCTGGGCACTTGGAGGCACCTGGTCCCCACCAAAGGCCCTCTAAGGGCCCTTAGGTGGGAGGTAAGACTGATGGAGGCTGCTGTGGGCACAGCAGAAGTTGCTTGGCAGAGTCTGGTGTGGACACAATGTCACTCAAGCACCTGGTTCACCTCAGCAACTCTCTGAGAGCAGAGGGCACAGAAAGCCCCTTATATGCTTCTGGTGCACTTGAGATAGCTCCCAGATATGCCTGAAGCACACCAAAAGGCAGTCTGAAGGTCACAATGCATGGCAGAACTTACTGGTGCACCATTAAGAGCATCTTAGGGTTAGAGTTACCATTAGGTTTGGGCAATGATGCCTCTGTGTTTTACTTGCTTTGTCTGGGGCGCTTCCAGTATTTTATGTGTAGCCAGGGGACCTCCAAATGTCTTTCACTGAAACTTGTGTGCCTCCATATGCCTGCTAGTGTGTTTTGGGGACCTCCAGAGTGCTTGTCAGGTCTCTGTTTGCTTTCCAACTGTCTTTCTCCTCACCAGCAACTGGGGCTCCTCACGCCCTTCACTGCTGCTGCTACCACCCCTGCTCTGAGCTCTGTAGTCACTTTTGATACGGTTTGGTGTTCCCCTGGTAGTATCATTTGTGCCCCCATGGAATAAGAGCATCAAACATTTCAAGTTAAGATTGGGAAGCTTTTTTTTTAACTGAATGTTAAATACATACACGTATGTATTTAACTAACAGTAATTGTGTTGAGAAGTTTTAGTGCTGAAATGCCTTGAAGACTAGAGCCTTTAGGAGAGATAAGCTGGCCCCATTCTAGGGTGTAGGAGTTGCTTATTATTTTTCCTGTTGAAGAATGGAGTGAAAATGAAATGTGACGGGTTTAGCCCTGAAACGTCTTTTTTGAATATAGCCACTTAGTGGTTTGGCACCTAAACCTACAAACACACGAGTACCTGTCTCCCAGTCGTTCACTGCAAACACCTAGTAGTGTTTGTAATGTCAAAGAAGGAAAGTGGGGGGTTGCTGTCTTCTTGGGACTGTGGTGTGTTTGGGTTTTTTTTTTTGCGGTGTGTGTGTTTGTTTTTGGTTTTGCTCCACCTCCCCTGAATAATCTGATTGTGGAAGAAGTATAGTAGGAGGTTGTTAGAGATTGATTATAAAGATTGATTATAGAATAGAATAAAATCATAGAACTAGAACGTAGATACAGCTGTGTAAACACAGCTGTGTTAAGAAACCATACAATCGGTATGTTGCAATTGGGATAGAAATTAATTGTATGGATTGTATCAAACAGAATTCACAAAGGAAGATGAAGGACAGACGACAACTCCGAGACAACCCTGAAACCAAACAAGGCCTGAAACCAGCGAGGGAGAATTCTACGAAGACAGAAGAACAGGAAGAACTTAATAAATGATGTACTCAAAGGAATGGAAGGGTTGCTTAGAAGCTTATGAAGATTTTACACTTGATGTAATTGGTTTAATAAATGTATATAAACCGGTCTAGAGAGTTAAGCTTTGCCACTCACTGAGGTGATGGCCCAACTCTGAGTTGTGAATAAAGCAATAAAGCAATACCTAGTGTAACCCACTCATGTGAGAATAAAATCTTTAACAGCCATCCTTATTTTTTTATTTTCCCTCTCTCTTCATCCTGTGGTTTAAAATTTTTCTTTTACAGCTGCTTTTTACTTTTCTGTTTCTCCTTTTTAATCTTTTCCTCTCTTAATCCCCATAGCTTTTCAAATTTACTTTCTATGTTTCTGTTTTAGTTTGCTGTCCTTGTTTTTTCATTGTTTTCCTTTATTTTCCTAATCCCAGTCACTTGTAGTATTTTCTTGTGTCATCTTTTATCCAGTTAACAGTCTTTATTTTGTAATGTTTTACTTGTCTGACCCTTTCACCTTTGCTTCTTACACTGTCTTCCTGTATGTTTTGCTTTGCTGTCCTGGTTTTTCAATTTTTTTTCCTTCGTAATCCTTTTTTTTTTTTTCTAAATGCCCTATCCATGTCCTTTATCCCATTCACTGCATTTTTTTTTTCATGGTTTGTTGTCTTTCCTTAGTGCAGTCATCTTTAAAGTTTTCTTTCTATGTCTACTTTTATCAAGCTCTACTTTTATCTTGTTTGCTGTCCCTATTTTTCAGGTTTTTTACTCTCATAATTGTTTTTATTTTTGAAATTCTGTTCTTCGGTGTGCTTTTATCTAATTTTCTGTCCCTGTTTGTTGTTTTTTCTGTATCCTGTTGCTTTTAAAAGTAGACAGAGAACAAAAACTTTAATCAAGGTGTGTCTCACTTTTTGTTTTGTTTCCTGTCTGTCCTGGCTTTAAAATTTTCTTCTCTCATCTGTTTTTACCTAGTGCAGCATCTTTATTTTTTTCATTCATTCTAATCTGACCCGTACCCAGTTGCTTTTAAAATTTTCCTTCTATGGCTCTTGGCTGTTTAGGTTTTTTGCTATTTTAAGTTGTTTTTTTTTCTCTTAATGTCTGCACTTCTGCATTTTTGTTTCTATGTTCGCTTTCATATATTTTTAGCACTCTATTTACTTTTTTCCTATCTGTCCTCT